CCTAAGAGAAGCAGCAAGTGAAAATGGGTCTGATTTATACCCTTCTTAATATAAAATTAAGCAAGAAAAGACCAAATGTTATCCAGGGAAAGACGAGGTAATTATTACTGAAGAAGGAGCTGCTATTAAAATGCAAGCATTACTAAACTTGGCGCTATATAGGCTTTTAGATGTGATTACTTCGGATTTGGACTCTGCAAGAGAGCTACTGCTTATAAGCAAATAGGCTTTGATAGAGCCCCAGGTCAAAGTAATTATAAACAAAAAACTGAAACAGAGTTTGATGATTCATCTATTTTCATGGTCAGTCTAGTTCCTATAAGGCTTCAGAAATTTGATGGAACAATTGTTTGGGAAAACGACCTCATCAACTTTTTATTGCCGTCCAATAATGTTTAAATTTACAAAAGAAACGCAGTCAACAGTGACAATTATAAAAGCTAGCATAACAGAAGAAATAGAAAGACTTCAGCCATCAAAAATCAAACAAGTTGAAGTTAAGCATCAATTGCACATGATGATGATAGACGGCAAAATAACCTCATATTTTTCAGAAACATTTTCTGCTGTCTGTGATATTTGCAAAGCAAAACCGTCAGAGTTTTTTGGAGTGACTTGCTTATCAAAGAGAAAATAATGAAGAAATATTCCAGTATGGAATGCCATCTTTACATGCCTGGATAAGATGCATGGAGTGCTTACTTCATATCGGTAAATATAATTTTATTACTTCACAATTTTTTCATCGTATGTAGTTTCCTGTGAGATTATTTTTTATATGACACTTTTTTGTTTGCGTCTTATCGTTTGGACTTCAAGAAATGGGGTTGCAAGGGGGGATGACAAAGAAAAAATATCAATCAGAAAGAGCGCTATACAGCAAGCGTTTAAAAAGGAATGCGGTTTACTTATAGATGTTGTCAAGCAAGGAGTAGGAACAACCAATGATGGCAATACTGCCAGAAGATTTTTCAGGGATGCAGAAGAAACAGCCCGCATAACAGGAATACGTAAAGATTTAATAGAGAGGCTTCACGTGATTCTTCACTCTGTTGCATCTGGAGAGCGCGTTTCCAATTTTTCGGAATTTTTTAGATATACTGCAGAATTGTATGTTAATGTATATCCCTGGTATTATATATGCCTTCCAGTATCCATAAATTGTTGGCACATGGCAGTGATATATAATAATGAAGAACTTTGGTGCCATTCGTATAGGTAAACTCTCGGAAGAGGCAGCGGAAGCTCGCAATAAAGATTTTCGGAAATATACAGAGAGATGTTATTCAAGAATGAGAAGTAGAACGTCGACTAATGAGGATATTTTACACAATCTTCTTTCGTCTTCTGACCCAAAGATCGAAAGGTGAAACAAAATATATAATATTTAGAGAGATTGCATAATTAGAGATCTACTAAATGTATTGTTGTTAGGTATTATGTAATTATGGGTATCATTACGTGCTTTTACTTACTAATCCATATCAAATTTAACTTAAAAGCACTTACGAAAAAAAATATAAAGGTTTTTATTCTATGTATTTATTAATTTTTTTCGATTCATTTATTTGGCAGAGTTGCAACTTTATGCACATGTTCATAGCATCAAATGATAGTAGACTAGACAAGGTATAAGGAAAATAAAGTTTCAAAGCGGGACCTCACAGTACTTAGCAGGAATTTAATTTAATGTGACCCGCTCCATACAAAAAAATCACAAAACACATTTTTCTGACCAAACTATAAAGTTTTTGTAATTTTTGCCCAAAACAATTATTATTGAGATTAACGAGCTCTATCTATCTACATAAAAAATTTTATAAAAAAACAAAGTTGGTCCCTAAGTCACTAAAATCATAGAATCGACCCACTGTGCGCCGGTCGGCCGGTGCGCGGCGGGACAGAATAAGAACAATAACAAGAAACACCCAAATCACTTCAAGATAGGCTTTCAAAATTATAGATTTTTGTGGATTTCTCCAGGATCTCATCATCAGGTCTTGATGATTACAGGTCAATTCTGGAAGTCTACCCTTTCGAACAAAAACAGAAAAGGGAATTATCAGAATCGGTTCAAGCATTCTCGAGAAATCAGTGAACAAACATAGATAAAAAATGGTTGGCGAATTATTAGCCTCCTCTTTTGAAGTCGATTAAAAAACGTGATTTTGGTACCTTAAATAGCTTCTTAACATTCTATTATTCAAAAATATTTTCACTTTCTACGTAAATGAAGTCGCGGGTAAAATTTAGTGTTATGCCAAAGTAACTATTCCACGCGGACGAAGTCGCGGGCAAAAGATAGTGTATTTAATAATACATTAAATAAATAAATAAAACATTATACACACTACCATGTATTTGACACACACACACACATATATACTCTTTGTTTATTGTCAAAATTTTGTTATTGCTTAAAGTCTGGTCAAATTAAGAATGGGCTAATATTGTTTATCTTTATATTTATTTGTCTATAGTGTAGTCGATATCTGTGATTATAGAAGTATAATAAAATAGTCTTTGACAATAAAAACGTTCAAACTTATAATTTCAATTAATTATATGTAATCGAATTTTGAGTACTGGGGGACCACTAGTTTATATAATTTTACTAAGTGCTCCGATTTTTTGTGCGTGCGGTAGACACGCGCGATTAGAGAAATTGGCAGCACGCACACATACGCGGATAAAGACTGTACCAGATCATCTATTAAGGGTTGTTTCTTGATCTTCTAATACTGACGCCAGAGAGAGAGATAGATCAGCTTTCCGGACAATATAATAATAAAAGAATCCGGGTCTGCACAGAAACATTGAAGGAATTTCAACCTTAATATTTTACTCGAAGCGTATCATCCAAGCTACAATAGTATTCTTAATACGTTCAATTTATGAGCTGAAGTTTCTTCTTTGGAACACCTACACACGGCCTAACATGTTTTTCTTAAACCAGATTTGAAAATAATTCTAAGCAAGCTTGGTTAACAATGTCAGTTATAACAGCGACAATTACTTATGGTTTATGGTTTGTCTTTTCTTTTCTTTTTTATTGCTTGGATGGGTGGAAGAGCTGTTGTTAGCCCACCTGTTGTTACTGGAGCCCATAGACATATACAACGTAAATGCGCCACCCACCTTGAGATATAAGTTCTAAGGTCTCAAGTATAGTTTCAACGGCTGCCCCACCCTTCAAACCGAAACGCATTGGCAGAAATAGACCGGGTGGTGGTACCTACCCGTGCGGACTCACAAGAGGTCCTACCACCAGTACACGACAAGACAAGTCGCGACGATATTAAAAACAGTTTACTTCATTTTAAGCAGACTAAAAATTCCCAGGGAACCGTGCCAGACAAACTAAATATGACTTAGAAGCGGCGGATGCGTCCCGGGAGAGATAATTTTAAACAAACTACGTTTCAAACGTAAATATGATTATATTTGACCGAAGCAATACATCCCAGAATGCAAAATTTAAAGAAATTAAAATTCAAACTATGCCATCCCAGTACATCTTTGAAAATTTGATGTATGTTCGTAAACATATTGAGGAGTTTCCTAAAAAGTCGGACATACATAATAGAAATACTAGGAACAAACACGAGCTTGTTGTGCCGATGAGTAGGTTACATAAGATACGAAATTCATTCGGGTGTTTGTCTGTGCGCCTGTACAACAAATTCCCACAAGATATTCAGAACCTACATAGACATAGGTTTAAGAAAACTATTAAAGAACATCTGTGCAATAAAGCTTACTATAAAGTCAATGATTATCTAGAAGATTGCACAAAGTGGGAATGAGTTGCTCGCTCCTGGCATTTCAATATTGTAATAATTGTTGCGTTATAATACTCAATGTAAAAATGAATATTTAAAAGAAATATTATATTAAAAAATTAATCTAATATTTAAAAAAAAAAAACACATGCCCGCTGAGTTTCTTGCCAATTCTTCTCAGGACGGAGGCTAGTTCTTGTGAATTGGCGGTAGTTCTTTTGACATTCAACAAGTATGTACTTTCATTTATGTTGAATAATTTTCTTTTGATTTGATTTGATTTGATCATCTAATAAAACCGAAAACTTAGACAATATGGTTATGAATCTATAGCTTTCAATACCGAAACACATATTTTTCAATGATTCCAAATAAACTATTATAAATCGATATTTAAATAATAATAGTAGTCGACGTAATGAGCAACTCAACCTACATATTATTACCGCAGCAGTGATGATCTATCATTCGTCAAATATACAAACGAACACAAGCAATTTAAGTACAGTACTTGTACAAGCGTAATTATGGTGAAATGAGTTTAGGTATTTTTAACACAATTTGGTTGATTGGCCCTATGAAGACTCAGACGACGCGCTCGCCAGTGCTGGTAGAAACCATGGATACCTCGCTAATGGAAAATAAAATTCAATGATGACTAAGTCCCTATCATTGCAAAGTATATTAATGATTTTTATTTTAAATCAATATTGGACACCAGAAAGTGAAAGACGATATGTGTAAGAGGGGAGTGAGCGAAGGAATAGTATGGAGTATAGAAAGAGAAAACATGTTGCGTTGACCTCAGGTGACTGGGAGATGGGCAGGATAATGATGATGATGATGATTGAACACCAACTCCAAGATTACAACACGGTGTAAAAACTCCAAAAATTATCTAGTTCATCAACTCTAAATGACATCACTCGTAGTGAAGTCGACTCAAGCTGAGGTTTCAACAGCCACATGACACCAGACTGACCATGAGCTTTTTTATCCGACGAGTGACATATAAAAGCAAATAGCTGCCTAGATTCCTATTATACAAGGTACAAGTTCATGGAACAGACTTCATACTGTAGATGGGCGGACCAGTTCTGAGACCATCGAGTTTCAAGTCTATCTACCCTACCTCTGTAGTCTATCTCTGAGGATAGTAGAAAGTTGTCAGCGCCACATGGGCTGGCAATCCTCTGCATTAAACTACCACGTACTCACCAAGCGCAGCCAATATTCCAGCAGCCCAAAAGACCTCACCGCAGAGAGCTGGTAAGAACAGCAGACCTCCCATGCGACTTCCAAAAGAATCTTGTAAAGGGTCCAACATCGTGATGTAGCCTTGACGACGCATTGGATTCGCGAAGAATATACCGCCTGTCAAACAACAGTGAGGAGTTTAACTCTATTAATCGGTACGTTACCTACGCTACTTCCCATAAAACCAGCTCTATGGAGCATAATATGATGTCAAACACAGAGATTCCAGGTTAGATACGAATTTCCCACAATCAAAGTGGCTCTTTTCTGTTATCGGTAAGTTTTTCTAGCGGTACATAAGTTAAAACCATGTCTGATCACACGCCCAAGAATGCATATTTCGGGATATATACATACATAACATTATTATTTATTGTCATTATTATTAGGGAGTCCAACACTCATATAAATATTAAGTACATGTATTTTCTACATGGATACCAAGTTTCAAGTCAATCGGATGCATGGTTCAGTAGTTATAACAGAACATCCGTAAAAACCACTGTAGGTTTATATATTAGTATAGATTTGAATAATTATTTTAAATTGTCCAATTGCAAGGATCCCGTGAACGTATTTAGAGGTAACCTACCGACCAGCTGGTAGTAAGTAGTAACCGTCATTCATAAATATCACCAATGTAGAAGTCACAGCTGTTCCTTTTCGCTGATGACTCATTTCAAACCTCATAGGTTTTCCACCCGAAATTTCAAAAGTATTTAAATATCCACTTACCAAAGACCAGGGACAGGGCATATCCAAAAGGCGCCTGACACCACACCAGCCCCGACGTGTATATCGCTTCTGCTGTCCCATTGATGTAACCGCCGCCAACCCAGGTCGCTATAACAGAATTGTAATTAGCTATTGGTATCTCAGACCGCACATGTAGCTCCATTTTCTTTACAAATACATAGCACTTTTCTAGAATATACCTTCCTATCATAGCCATTTAAACACCTAGGTAAGTCTGCTGAACTTATCTCAATTAGATTTAGTGCATCGGGCTTGTTTATCATTGGACAGGATATCAAATGGTGATGGAATGATGGTCCGTTATTAAAAAATCAATGTACACAGTGGAATATGCTAGTTTAAAAATTTAAAATAGCAAAACCTATTAAAAAACAAAAAGCTCACATTAAGTTTTACATTTGATGTTTTTTTTTATATAAATATCTTCATTGTTTAAGACAAACTTCTACCGGGCTTATACTGTAGTTATTAAAATTTTAGACTTATCATCGTTTTGTTTATGTTCGTATTTAACCTAAAAATAAGACTAGAATTGCGTTAGAGACTTCTAACTTAGGTCCGACATCTAATTATATTAATGAGAGAGCATATTTCGCATCAAAACATCAAGGATATTAACAATTTCTTGAGGAACCAATTAAAACATTCTTGATAAAAATAACGCAGAACACATTTGGAGAATGTAGGTATAGTATATTTCAATTCTAATACTAGTAGAAACAATGGCCTTTGTTTTATAAATAAGTCATAAATGTAGTAATGATTTTGACTCATGACTCAACTGTAAAACGATCACTAACTTCAGACGGTGCAAATGCACATTATCACTAAGTTTCCAGTAATTCTCTAAATTTATTAAAAAATTCCTTATTTCGGCTGTTGAAGACAGATAAACGGGCGACCTGATAAAAAAATAGCCACCGCCGCCAATTGATAATAGCAATGTTTAAGTAACGTAAGGTGTACTCACGAGTGCTCATAACAGCCAATCTATTAAAATTATATGTATTCTTGTTGTTGTTTCCTACCAATCGTTTGCTTAAAATAAATTTACAAATAATTAACCAACCAGTCATAGTAAAGATGCCGACGAACAGCCCAATGGATCGTCCCGCCAGCATTACCTCCTCTTCGGAGTCATTTCCCGGAGGCTTCTTCCTCCCAGCCCATATACCGACTGCCAGGATCAGCACGTAAAACAGAATGATGGAGATCACGCCGGCTATGTTTATCATCTTGACTCTTCTTGGGGTTTACCTGCTACCCATTAAATTATTTACTGATGGTACGAAATGATATTTTACTTATAGATTAGAGATGAGGTAATGAGCCATCTGGTGCTGGGTAGGTGGCCTACTAAGTTACTAATGCCGTCTCTGACCATAATACGAAGGTGAAATTTTCAATAACAAAACAGAACTATCCTTGTTCCATATTTTTCCGCCATTTTTAATAAAGCCATACATAAGGAGGAATTATTTTTTCAATCCTCTCAAAACTTCAAAATTATCTCCGAAAATGTACAACACTACTCTGAGCTTAGGCTTATGGGGCCTGGAGGCCTATTAGATTTAAGGCTTATAGGACAACAAAAATGCCTAAAATCAGTTAGACCCATTAACTAATCAATCAGCATCATATTATTATAATGCAGTAGCAATTTTAGAAGTGTTAACGAACCAGCTCATGGTCCATTGAAATGTCACTTACATCATCTACTAAAAAATACTATAGTTCAATCACTTCACCCTGGATACATTTTACCGTAATACTTATATAAACTAAAGCAATTTTGATTTTTAAACTACTTTTCGTAAAGGAATAAACCATTTAAGTGGATTCACATGTATCATTGAGACGGTTGTACTTACGTATCCAAAAACCCGACGCTGATGTAACCCGTCGCACACTACACACTTACGTATTTAATTAAATCATTTGTTACAATTACAGTATAAACAATAACAGTGTTGGGGGCCGCCTGAGCGCTCGAGTGTCAAGTCCTATTGGGGATCAATGTCAATCCAGCAGCTGTCGCCCCATCGAAGCGAAGTTTTCTGCGAAGGGCTGTTCCTGGTCCTAAAACTTAGCCCGCACATGGGTGCCCGACATGAAAACGCGATTTCGCCTACACCCGCTCAGTTCAGATCAGTTCACGTGGACGGCAATGACAGCAGCCCGTATCGGCACCGGCCCGCGAACAGCTCGTGGATCGATGCTCTGACGTCATTGGTCGGAGCGGGTCGCGAGAGCGCATGCCTCCGACCTCCTCCACAACCTTTACTACGATCGGAGCGTAACGAATTTATACATGTACATAGCTGGTTCAACGATTAATCCCAGATGACAGCACCAAACCTAAATGTCAATGTATTATAAGTAAAATTATTGGCATAATTTACATTTAAGAGGTGGTGTATTTGTGAAGGCCTGGTATCAGGTCGTTTTTTCATTCAGAAATTGATTGATGGAGCGTTGTACGTAATGGCCGCTGGTACCTTCGGAGCTGGCTGGAGGGCGCGACCGGCTCGGGTCACAGAGTGCAATTTGTTAAGAAAAGCTCTGTAATAAATGTTACAGACGGATTAAGGCTCTTACAAGCTTTTCTGATTTATGTACGGATACTCACGTTTTTTTTTATTTCTTAGCTGGGGAACGAGTTTACAGCCTACCTAGTATTAAGTAGTTACCGGAGCCCATAAACATCAACACAACCTGAATGTCGCAACCCACCTTGAGACCTGTCCCGCCCGTCAAACCGATGACTTTTTCGCAGCAGAAATAGACAGGGTGGTGGTACATACCCATGCTAGCCCCCAGGGCGCCCCAATCACCTTTAAAGTTTTAAAGAAGCGTGGCTTAACTTTTAGATTAGTCTTAAAAATAGTTAATATTGTCACTGTTTTATACTAAACTATTGCTTAGCCATATTGTGAAGTTTGTTAAATTTTACTGTAAAAGCATACCAGATCACAAAAATCTATTTTATCAATTAGATCGATTGAGGGTCTATTTTTAATTGTATTTTAGGAGCAATCAGGTAGAGGGGGAAAAGGTCGACCGAAGAAGACATGGATGGACTGAATGACGATATGAGAGAGAGGGAGAGGAGTGAGTGTTGAGCTGACGGCTGATAGAAGAGAATGGAAGAGAAAAATTAGCTGTGCCCACCTAGTGGGATAAGGTAAATAAAAAGAGGAAAAGGAGCAATCAGGAGGAATTTCAGGAATACCTCAATCTTCCGGATCTTTCCAATATTTTTATTTTGTTTTAGAAAGCATCATAAACGAAGACCTAGGATGAGCAACTTGATCTGAAGTGAAGGTAACAAAAGGGTGACGAGGAACCCAACTAATTACCTCAAGTAGAGTATTTCGGTACTTCAACTTCGACGATAAAGCAAGGAACACAATGCTAATACATATACATTAGAAAAAAAACTTGTTATAAATTTTTACCTAATTCAAAATAGACAGTGCTATACAGAAGGTTCGTTTTTTCATCAATCAAGAAATTGCTTGGCGTGGAGTGTTCAAACCTCTTCGGAAACAAACTTTCAGGAACATTGTCAATATTGACATGTCAAATCGAATCCAATAAGCTGATCATTCATTTTGTTCAAAATTTACTCATAAATCATGTTGTAATTGAAGTAAAGCAATTTGGTGGAGTACAGAGAGCGTCAGAATTCAGAATGCATGATACGGTGAGTAATTCATAATTTATTTCGTTTAGGGATATGGATAGACGAGACTACTAGCATCTGTGTAGATGTGGTATATTTTAACGGGTCGGTTAATAACTCTTTATCTTTCGTACTTTTTCATTTATTTATTGCTTAGGTGGGTGGACGAGATCACGGCAAACCTGGTGTTAATTGGTTACCGGAGCCCATAGACATCTACAACGTAAATGCCGCCACCCACCTTGAGATATAAGTTCTAAGGTATAGTTACAACGACTAACCCGCCCTTCAAACTGAAACGCATTACTGCTTCACGGCAGAAATAGGCAGGGCGGTGGTACCTACCCGTGGGGACTCACAAGGGGTCTTACCACCAGAAACTCATACATACATACTACATAAGTCATACCCTAATTCATGTTTGATTTGCTGCTTCATACAATGAAGATAAATCGGTCATAGAGTCCCGTAAACACAACAAGATTAATGACACCTTTTTGGTTGGTAAGAAGATGTATTAAGAACAAGGATAGGTATAATTTTCCTTCCCATTTTGCCAGGCTACAGATACGGGCTTGGGCTTAAAGGACACCCATTAAATAATACAATTTGAGACTTAACCTCATGTTTTAAAATAGGTGGACCATAAACTCGTATGTCCATCTAGAGCATAAAAAGCCGTTTGGTTCACAAAGCCAAATTCACAACGACATTGCAACGGCTATAATACACTTAAAAGAAAGTCAAATTGCTTTTTGGTAGGCAATAGGCAGGATGGTGCTTGGGGATCGACTTACATATGCATCTGTCCCCCACATCTCTCCGCGCTTGAATACCAAACAAACGAATAAGCCCCGTTACATATAAGTAATAACTAAAGAGATGAGGCCTGCTGGTCTGGCCTGGAGTGATGTCAAAGTGCAAGCACAAGACAGGGTGAAGTGGAAACAACTTGTGAGGGCTATGTACCAGCGGGGTACCATAGAACTACAACAACGATGTTAAAACAAAGCGTTTGCTATTAATGAATTCCGCTTTATGGAGATCTTTATGGCTTTGTGTGAACGGAACTACGTAAATGATTTGACAACTTACAAGGCTGGCTTTCTGTAAGCGTTAGGACAGCCAAAGATATTTATTTCTTCGCATTTACTACTACTGGTGGTAGGCCCTCTTGAGAGTCCGCGCGGGTAGGTACCACCGCCCTGCTTATTTCTGCCGTGAAGCAGTAATGCGTTTCGGTTTGAAGGCTGGGGCAGCCGTTGTAACTATACCTGAAACCTTAGAATTTATGTCTATGGTGGGTGGCGCATTTACGTTGTAGATGTCTATGGGCTCCAGTAACCACATAACACCAGATGGGCTGTGAGCTCGTCCACCCATCTATGCAATAAAAAAAAATAACGTTCGGAACATGCGTTTACTAATAACTTAGATAGTGGTATTCACGTTGTGATATCTACAGGCCTCAATAACCACTTAATGTTAAGTGTATGGACGGTTCTTTTTTCGATCTTCTGCAGTAAAAAAAACTATATGTCATGCTGTAAGACGCGAACTCCTCTTATATATGGTTGATTGTAATTTTCTCTCTGTTTTTGTATAAGCAGTTATCGAGTCACGTTAATTAGAACTGATTTGTTTCATCGGGATCAAATTATAAACTGCTTAATGTCTCGTGTGTAGGTATCAATTGAAAATCTGAGGATATATTTCGGGATGATTGCGTCATGTAACAATGTTATGGAGAAATAGAAGAAACAGACATGCAATGATTCTTTTATTTTTCAAATAAATCTTCGGTTCGTTGAATTATGGTCGTGAAGTATCCACGGTCATTCGTTAAAGCTTTTGCATTTCCATCGCGGAACAATAATGCGAGTCAGTTTTAAGCAGTTTTTTTTTTATTTTATTTTTTTAATACCCTCATATACGATGGCCGTACGCGACGCCATGACCAAATTTCACGTCATTACGGATCCTCCCGATCCATGAACGGTGCTTTTAGATACCACATGCACCGGTCACCGTCCTCGTATAAAAAATTGTAAGTCGTCGTGACCTACAGGATAAAACGTCCGGTGGATTCGTGTCTAGCGATGCAACGGTGTCCGAATCCCGCAAGCGGGTACCAATTCTTCTAATAATAAATAATAGTTTAAAAAAACTAACAAAAACGCTTTTAGAGAAAATCTATTTTTTAGTTGGACTTTCTATAAAAGCGTATTTTGTTAATTTTTTTAAACTATTCTTAATTTTTCATTTTTAGTTGAATTTAATTTTTTTCAATTCTTTCTTTTTTATTTTTTTTTGTAATATTTTATTGTCATCTGTCCTTAATAAGTATAGTAAATTTCGAGTTAATCCGACGTTTTAAAGGAGGTCAAAATCATGTTCAAAGATTCCGCTACATACTAACACACATACGTCTGAAGCTAATAAAAGCGTATTAAAAACATTACAGATAGTGCGCTTAGCAGACGTTTGGAAGACATGCAACAAGATCCGAGCAGCAGCCTTCCGTGTCGGTCTCAACCTCTGGGACTGGTACCGTCCTCTGGACCCTGAAGGAAACTCACTTATTTCTGGTAAAATTAAAATATAAGAAGACTGTTGGGGATCAGCTTCCGAAACTTTAATCGTATCAATTTGGTTTAACACGGAATGTGTTAACTTGCAATATTTTTTTTATTGCCTAGGTGTGTGGACGAGCTCACAGCCCACCTGGTGTTAAGTGGTTACTGGAACCCATAGACATCTACAACGTAAATGCGCCACACACCTTGAGATAGAAGTTCTAAGGTCTCAGTATAGTTACAACGGCTGCCCCACCCTTCAAACCGAAACGCATTACTGCTTCACGACAGAAATAGGCGGGGCGGTGGTACCTACTGGTGCGGACTCAGAAGAGGTCCTACCACCAGTAATTACGCAAATTATAATTTTGCGGGTTTGATTTTTATTACACGATATTATTCCTTCACCGTGGAAGTCAATCGTGAACAATTGTTAAGTACGTATTTCATTAGAAAAATTGGTACCCGCCTGCGGGATTCGAACACCGTGGCATCGCTACGAATGCACCGGACGTCTTATCCTTTAGGCCACGACGACTTCAAAATACACATATACACTTTGCTAATACACATATACAATTATCGTTTAATTTTGGTGATTCTTAGTGAGTCCTCAATATAAGCGAAGGCAATTACTAGTGAAAGCTCTCCGTGCTCTTTCGACGTGAGCTATTTTTTAAATTCCTTAGTCCATACTGCATTACTTTAAGAATCATTTCATTTTTTATCGATTACATAGACCAAAAAAAGCGAATAATCACGTATCTTCGACTTTGCGAGACAGTTATTTTTTGTCCAAGGTCATCTGTACGGATTCACAGTACGCCCTATCATCGCTGACCTCGACAAATCGACAGATGACCTAGACTAATAAATTTGAAAAAAAGAACGTTGAAGTCTATTATCTTTATTTATTGAACTACCTTTTTAATAGTGAAGCCTATTTTTATGAAGCCGTTTAAAAAAGTCTAGCCTTTAACGCATAACAGCCAAACATAATAACTAGTATTATAGAAACCTATTCATTTAGCTTGACGTTTAGATCATGTCTGTCTTGTGATTAAAGTGTATATTGTACGGCAGTGGTGACGAGGTCACTGTACATTGGTCATTAATACATGCCCATTGCTATTCTAACCTTCTTTCACTAGTCCCATTACCTAATGACCATTTGCATCTGCGTATGCTGTAGTTTTATTTGTTAACTAGTGACCCGCCCTTGCTTCGCTTCGGAAACATTAAATTTTATTATCGATAGCTGAGTCCCTGTGATGCTACCCGCAGTTATTGCCGTACCGCGGGTGACGCCGCGGAACAAACCTAGGCTAAAATAAAGTAGTCCAAATTACTCCTTATATCATCAGCTACCTATAAGTTAAAGTCCCGTCAAAATCCGGCCAGCCGTTCCAGATATTAGCCGGAACAAAAAGACAGACAGACAAAAACTAAAAAAAAAATATTTTGTTATATATACTGTGGTATACACTGTGGAGGAGAGCTCATTCCAAAGTCGGATGGTACGTGGCAGAAAAGCTCTTTGGAAACGCACTGTCGATGAACGCAGCGGTTCCAGATCCAATTTCAAGACAGACATGGTCGATAGACATCTTTTAATTTCAACAACCATTGCCCGATATTATGCCTAAAAAGTAATTCCAAATTCCAGAATCGAAGTTCGTCTCAATACTCGCGGGTCCGCTGCGGTCCGTGATCGGCTTGTCTGACGCCGAGATCTCTCAGCTGGCTGATTACTTCCGAGCTCAAGACGGAAGGATATTATACCATCAGCTGTGTCAGGTCGTGCATGGTGAAGGTGGGGTACTATAAAGTAATTTTTGGCTTCTTTATTGTATTGTAAATATGTAAAACTGATTTTACCGTCATAAAAAATAGGTATTAAAAGTAATTGTTGTTTGTATTAAATGAAAAGGTTCTTTAAAATTTAATGTCGATAAAGCATTTTGTGGGTACCACCACCCTGACTATTTCTGCCGTGAAACATGTGTTTCGGTTTGAAGGGTGGGGCAGCCGTTGTAACTATACCGAGACCTTAGAACTCATATCTCAATGTGAGTGGCGGCATTTACGTTGTGGATGTCTAGAGGCTCCGGTAACCACTTAACACCAGGGGGGCTGTGAGCTCGTCCACCCATCTATGCAATTAAAAAAAAACATTGTAAATGAAAAATTACCAAAGGAAAAAAAGTTCCCAACACATAGTGTGCTTCATGTAAATCTATATGCTTGACAATTAAATTAAAAACTTTATAATCGAAGGAAACTGACTTAAATGGTTAAGTGCATTCAACTGTAAAATCACGTAAATAGTCACTTGGATTAGTTCAGTCGAGGAAAATGGAACTCTAAATGTGGAAAAATCAATAATGGGGTGGATCTTGCTATTTCTGTAAGCGCCCGGCACAGACGTACACGATGTGAGGCGATTTAGGTCATGTGTGCAACGAAGAAAAAACACAATACTTAACAATTAGTATCTGAAGAATTATAATTATCGACTGTCGAAAATTTTATGACTACTAGAAAGAACGATGCCTTCATGCTTCAATGAATCTTAATTGATTTTTTTTTTTTTTTTTTTTTTTTTTTTATTGCTTAGGTGGATGGACGAGCTCACAGCCCTCCTGGTGTTAAGTGGTTACTGGAGCCCATAGACATCCACAACGTAAATGCGCCACCCACCTCGAGATATAAGTTCTAAGGTCTCAGTATAGTTACAACGGCTACCCCACCCTTCGAACCGAAACGCATTACTGCTTCACGGCGGAAATAGGCGGGGTGGTGGTACCTACCCGTGCGGACTCACAAGAGGTCCTACCACCAGTGATTACGCAAATTATAATTTTGCGGGTTTGGTTTTTATTACACGATTAATTAATAATTAATTGAATGATTCTTCTTCTTGAAGAAGATATCCTTGTCCTACTTAAATAAGTCAGCAAAGCATGCACTCAGCTCCTAGTTTGATTATTTGCTTTGGAGTTTTGCCTACAGATCAATAGTTATAATTATAATCGGCCTTGGAGTTGGAAATAAGGGCTTCAATTGATGGGAGGGCACATTAAGGCTTCATATCTTCTGATTATTATTTGATCCCTTCTAAGCTTTTGCTTTTAGAACGCACAAAAACAAAATTTTGTGCCTTCTCGTGTGTTACTAGAAGTAATAAAGATTGCATAGTTAAGCACCCATAAAAGATATTCCCGCTCATCGTTGCCGCCGCTGACTACTCCCCGATTCCTGATCATGCAGGAGCCAGTCACCGTTGACACCCTAGACACGTCCTTACGGATCCATCAAATCGAATAACCATTGCATTAGACGCCTTCAGCTCTAACACTAGGAGCAGGCTCAGAGAATCCGGTAACCGTACTCGTCGAACTCGACAAAGAGTTCGACGTGCAACCTAACCTAAAAATCAGCTCGCTGAGTTTCTCGAGCTTCTCGGATCTTCTCAGCGGGTCGCGATTCCGATCCGGTATATAGTAGATTGATTCGCTAAGCAGTTACTCTTGAGTGGTTAGGTCTCATTTGGAGGCGCTCCGGTAGCTATTAGCAAATCCCACCCCTCCTGGCTGAGCCCATGCTCGCCCTCCTGTCCTGGTGAAACTGGAAAGGCCTCCAGGCCACCAGTAATATATAGTATACTTGTGTGGACTTTAAGTTTTATTAAACCAGAGCAACTCACATTAGGAGCATCAGTTTGCAAAGCAAAAATACCTGATCGAATTGGGCCTTGGGAAAAATTCAATAAGTTGTAAAACAATATCACCACGTTTGCCAATTATTAAAACAATACTTTCAGATTCCAACGCCCGCGATAAGATTTCCGCAGATTGCTTCCTAGAAGCATGCCCGCCTCCGCCGGAACCGGCCTGCCATAAGTTAGATCAGTGGCAAATCAGACGACTCTGCTGCCTACTAGCTACAATAGCTTCGAGGAATCTACCTTTGAAACCTTATTTTCAGGATTATGAAATGGTATGAATGATTTATAAGGCAGCTGAAGTACGAAAAATTGCCAGTTTTAAATTGTTACCCTTTTATTGAGGTGGTAGGATTTTTTTATTTTTTTATTGACCTTGTAGGCAGACGAGCATACGGCCCACCTGATTGTGAGTGGTTACCGTCGCCCATGGATTTCAGCAATGCCAGGCGCGGAGTAAAGCCGCTGCCCACCGAATATGGCCCAGTGGCCATCATACGAGACTACCATGTCACAGAAATCATGTTTTAAATATTTAAAGTTATTTTTATGAATTTCAATTTAGGAACAGATCGGTTTTTTTAAACTGGCGATTGCGTTAAGGGTCATAAAGCTTATCCTTATGTAGTGTTAATAATAATGACAATGTCGAGCAGAAAGCATGTATTCGCCTGAAAACAATCAAATAATATTCTAAATAATAAGTTCTCTGTTACCAGTTATTACACAGGTTTATAAACATTCCATGCTTTTTTAAAAGACATTGATTTTTTTATTCAAAGTATTTCGTAATAACATGTTCGGTTTATTAATTGATACAAGTCCAGAATCGAATCACGATAGAATCACAACGATGATTTTAATAAATTAGACTAGAGGTACATTATTAAACAACTAAAATTCATCGACGCTAATCGTTAAATTGACCATTTATTAATTTTTCATCTTCTTATTTTAACTTTTCTGAATATTTCTACTTCGAATTTTATTTTATTTTGATGCAGGTAGCAAAAAATGACGGTCGTATAACATTCGCTCATTTCGCTCGAATCCTAAATTTCATTGGAGTCCTAGTTTCGCCGGAGGACTTCAATTTGCTGGTGCGTCGGTTCATCAAAGATTCTTACACGCTCGACTACGTGGAATTCCTTAAAGCTGTTGAAGCTGTGCAAAAGGAGGGCATCCAAGGCCTTGGACCGGTAAGTTAAGAGTAGAACATGATATAAACATATTTGAAGAGCCACCGACAGACACGCTTCTAGACCCACCTAGCCCATAGACTACAAAAGATTACTGGGTTTTGGCAACCGTTATTAGATCCGATTGGCCGTGAGCTCATCTATGTACTCAAGAAAAGAAAGAAAGATTATAGTTAGATGATAGGTAAACCAATAGGTTTAAATCAATGTGAGTTCGGGTTTTATTTATATTACGCCTTTGGCACCCAAATATCAAGTGAAGCGTCAGTACATTATCTGAATAGAGCTCAACCACTGTACATCGCCAACTTTTCGAGTGTAACTAGCAGGAATAAGTTACCCAGACGATAACCCAGATGTCCATAAGCTCTTATAAGACCTACAAACGCTATTGCAAAATTATGCGAGCATGCGTTGCATCATGCAAGAAAATGTTCTGAGTTCTAAGACACATACCTCCTCCATGCGTCATGTTCCTCAGTGCTGAGGATCGTGACTTATACGGAGCACTATTATTTGGACTATGTTCCCCCATTCCCTCCTGTCCTCTGCGCAGTGGATAGCGACATTGATGCTGGAGTCCAAAGTCGTCTTAATTTGATCGGACCAACGTATGGGACTACACATTATGATACTCTAAAAATCTCGGTATTTGATTTCGTCAATTTCTTCTTCAGGCTTACAACAACCCCAATGCCATAATAGATACGACACTGCCCAAGTTGCCACGTCCCGAAATTGAAGCAGGATTATCGACAGCGCCTCTAGGAGCTAATGATGTCTTCCATCCAGTTCTCGACCCGCCAAAGCCGCCACGGCAGCTGGTGGAACTCATGCTGAGGGTGCAAGAGTTTGTGCTGCAGAGAAGGATTAGAGTTTCCGAATTTTTCAGGGTATTTACTGCATGATTTTTATTACATACTAGAGACCCGTCCTCACTTCGCTTCGGGACTATAATTTATTATTGATTTTATTGAATTTTCTTTTATACATTTGTTTTAGACGATATTCAGTTTTTTTACATCCGCTTTTAAGATATTTGCAGGATGTATTCTACCAATGTCATGTCAAACGCCATAAGGTTAGATTAGAAAATCATTAGAAAATTTAATAGCGTAATTATTTATTCTTAAAGTTTCTACTTTACCGCGCAATTTTCTTAATTTTTTCTTTCACAAGAACCTTCTTCTGATAATAACTAACGCAACAAAAAAAAGAATTATCCAATTAGTTGCCGGCGTTCTGAAACTATGCGTATACATACATACATACATTACACAGATTCATTTTTACAAGATTATTGACTGATTAACGTGATTTCAAATTTGCAATCTTAATGTATTTCGATTAATAACTAAGACATTCTGTGTATACGTAATTACGTACTGCAGACGTTCGTGTGACGGATCTTTTAAAATAATCGTTTTAGGAGTTTTGCAATTAGTAAAGGCCTAATGTTTGCACGAGTGTACCAGGCTCACCACAAGCCGGGAGGAGTAGCGATTGCTCGTGAGGCGCATAGCATCTGCCCACAGCAATGTTGCTGGATGACGACCACGACCGACAAGAGTGATACGGCAAAGGGAAATGTTTGTAAGAGACTTTTTCACTTTAATTTCAGGACTACGATCCCTTGAACAGCGGTCGCATTTCCGCGCTACAGTTTCGTCGCGCACTGGACGCCATGGGGCTCAGCACTATCATGTCACCTGCGGAACAACTCTGCGTGTTGAGGCACTACGTCGACCCCAACGATAGAGAGAAAGTATGCTGGAGGACCTTCGAAGATGATTGTGATCAGGGTTGGTTTTTTGTTTCGCGACCCAGACGTACGACCACTACACAAATAATCGTCGTTTTGAATTCGCTGACCTAAAGTTATCAAGAACTGTAAAACTGTCTGCTACCTCAAGACACTACCGTAATAGTCAGTATTTCAAATGTTAGTGTTCGCAATCCGAAAACATTTTTAGACATTTCCGCAACGGTATGACGTGCCCTTCTTCAAGCTGTGCTTGACAAAATTGCTTAGGCGTTGTCTATAAAGCACGGTAATCATTACCAATAGTTGGTATGGTGGTAGGACGGTAGGTGGTTTTTACTGGTGGTAGGACGTTTTATGAGTCCGCACAGGTAGGTACCACTATCCTGCCTACTTCTACCGTAATGCAGTAATGCATTTCGGTTTGAAGGGCCCTACCCTTTGTTGCCCAGCCGTTGTACTGTAAAAACTGAGGCTTTAGAACTCATGTCTCAAAGTGGGTGGTGGAATTTACGCTGCATATGTCTATGAATTTCAATAACCACTTTACACCAGGTGGGCCATGAGCTCAAAAACTTATCTAAGCAATAAAAAATGTTAAAACTGCTTTCGATGGAAATTTTTTCAATAATTCTTTATCAAAAACTAACTAATATCCTATAAAACTTTTTATAGTGTTCACAGTTAAAGAATTAGAAAAGCATCCAAACGTAGTGCCCGGTGCCGCAGCCGAAGTAGTGAGGAGTTTGCCAGCAGTTGGAACAACTAGCGGTGACAGTCCTAGCGATGTGGACGCTGCGCTCCTCCGAGTGAGAGCTGCCTGCACGGAGAGGGCCATCGACTTAAGACCGGCCTTCTCTGAACACGACCAGTTAGTAACTTAACTCATGTTGGTGTTTAATTTATACTAGCTGACCCGGCAGACTTCGTAGTGCCTCAATCGATAAACAAGAGACCGAGATAATAAATTTAAAACAAACAAAAGGAATCCGTCCGACGGGGGACACATCAAAGGAAAAACAAAAGTGTTATTTTTATTTCATTCCGTGCATTTTCATATTTTTATCTACTTTTTAAAACTTCTCTGGACTTCCACAAATAATTCAAGACCAAAATAAGCCAAATCGATCCAGCCGTTCTCGAGTTTTAGCGAGACTAATGAACAGCAATTCATTTTTATAAATATGGAAGATAGAAGATTTAGCGATGGGTGTTGGGAACTTGCAATGTGATTGTCGTGGCGTGCAACGTCTTTGACAGGACATAAGACCTACAACGATTAGACATAAACTAAGACAGAGATTTGACAGGTGATTCGAAAGACACAAAAGAAGAGAATTGTAACGATTGATAGATAGGGTAATAAGTTATCTATATATTAATACGTGAAGCAAAAATTTTGTACTCCTTTTTACGAAAATTGCACGGACGGAGGAGAATGAAATTTCTCACACTTATAGAGAATATAGAGAAGTGCAGAATGTTAATACATTTTTTTAAGTTAAGCATAAAAAATACATTAAATCAATAAAAAAAGCGTTACACGCACTACCATGTATTTGACATAACACATACTTATTGTTTATGTTATTATACTCTTGGCTTATTGTGAATTTTCAAGCTTTTGTTTTGTTTAAAGTCTGTGGTCAAATTGAGAATAGATTAATATTGTTTGTCTCTATTAATATTTCCCTAAAGTGTCTTGGCGAAATCTGTGTATTAGTCTTTGACAATAGAACCATAATAATGGTTAAACAAAAAATTTCAAATAATTATAGTCGAATTTGCTAGTGCGGGACCACTAGAGAATCATTAAATGTCAAATGCTTAAGTTCTAGTCTTGATCTGTACAAGAACTGTCACCGCCACAACTTTAGAAGCTTAAACATGAACTATGCGTGTGTTTATTAATTTTTAATGGCTCCAAAAAAGGAGCAGGTTCTCAATTCGACTGTATGCTTTTTTATGTTTTTTACCTCGTAACTTTTGACTGGATGAATCGATTTTGATGATTCTTTTTTTATTAGAAAGCTGACGCTTCCCGTGTGGTCCCATTTCAATTTAGTCCATTTCTGATAATGGTATCCAGGAAAAAACCATATAAGTATTACATTTGCATTAAGTCCGTGCGCGATAAATAGTTGAATAACTCAATATCACGCCAACCGATTTCGGTGATTATTGTTTTTAGTGTAAGTATATTCATTTGTTTTGGAATATCTTTTTTATTTATTTGAAGTCGGTTTTTGTTAAAGCATATCTATTTACAATTATTAGCCGCTTAAATCGGTGGACGAGTTCACGGTCTACCTGGCGTTAAGTGGTTACTAGAGCTTACAGACATCGACAACGTAAATATACTATAACTATACTGAGACCTTAGAACTTATATCTCAAAGTGGGTGGCGCATTTACGTTGTAGATGTCTATGGGCTCCCGTAACCACTTAGCATCAGGTGGGCTGTGAGATCGTCCATCCACCTAATAATAAAAAAAAAAAAATGGCGTTGTGTTGTGTGCAGACACAGCAACGGTCACGTGTCGCGATCGGCGGTGCGGCGCGTGCTGGCGCGGCTCGGCGTGCTACCGGCGCCGCACCACGTGCGCGCTCTCGAGCTGCGCTATCTGGACGAGCTTGGATTCAACTACTTCATGCTGCTCGATGAGGTTACTGCATTGTTTATTTTTTGGAACGTAGTTCCTTATGGGACGATGCGGAGGGGTACTCTAACCAGTAAAAAACGTCCGTAACGTAAGATTTTTATTAGTAATGCACACAGTGTACGACTTAACTTTGTAAAAACGTACAAAAAATTACATATTTTTTATCATTCATTGACCACGATCTCAGAACGTTCGTTTGCGCAATACACTAACTCGTACGCAAACAACCGTGAATGAAGTGTACCACAATAAGTTCGCACGTTACCGAATGACCGTGGGTTGTTGCAAAACCTCCAGTTTTATTTTCTTTATACCTCGATTAGAACTTAATATTTTTATAATAAGGAACTTCGTTCCTATCCGGTGTTCCATGACACCACACATATATTTTTTTTATATAGGTGGGTGAACGAGCTCACAGCCCACCTGGTGTTAAGTTGTTACTGGAGCCCATAGACATCTACGACGTAAATGCACCACCCACCTTGAGATATAAGTTCTAAGGTCTCAGTATAGTGACAACGGCCGCCGCACCCTTCAAACCGAAACGCAGTACCGCTTCACGTCAGAAATAGGCGGGATGATGGTACCTACCCGTGCGGACTCACAAGAGGTCCTACCACCAGTAATTACGCAAATTACAATTTTGCGGGTTTGATTTTTATTACCCGATATTATTCCTTCACCGTGGAACTCAATCGTGAAAATTTGTTGGTCTCCGCTAATTAAGGTATGGGTCTATATTGCCATGGAATAACGGCTGAATAACGGCAAACGCGCACACACGATTGTATAGCCAATAGGGCCAGCCAACTTATTTAGAACCAAGATCTACTGTTTATTGACAAAACCCTCTGCGATCTACCAATGGCATTTCTTGAAATTTAATGAAACAATAGTTCAATATACAAATAAGTAATATAATTTATTTTATTAAGAAGATTAACATTAAATTGAAATTTAATCCTAGTATCCTATATTTATGCTTATTGTCTTGTCACGATCGACTGGACTATATCCCCAATCAACCGGTTGGTCGCCCCAGATACTTTTAGCCTAAACACGAAACGGTCAGAACAGCGGTACCGTATCTTGCGCCTTGATGACGTGCTCTACTCTAATAATAAATTTATTATTAATATTTACTGGTGGTAGGACCTCTTGGAAGACCGCGCGGGTAGGTACCACCACCCTGCCTATTTCTGCCGTCAAGCAGTAATGCGTTTCGGTTTGAAGGGTGGGGCATCCGTTGTAACTACCTAGTCAGGTCATAAATTCTGTCACATGTTTAATGTAAAATAATTGAAACAAGTTTATTCATTATGTAACCATTCATATACCAAAATGAACTTAACAAAACATAGATTCTTATGACACTAAAGTTTATTCAAAATGACCTCCGTGATTTGAATACAGGCCTTCAATTTGCGCGGCCAGTCGTCTATCGCAGCACGAACGAGGTCCATGTCAATATCGGCGGCTGCCTTAATCAAGGATGTCTTGAGTGACTCCAAATTGGGATGAGGCTTTGAGCACGCCTTTTCCTCCAAGTGTTGCCATATCTTGTAATCTAACGGATTCAAATCTGGACGGGAGGAGGGCCAGTCTTCGTGCCGGATGAAGTTGATTTCACGCGCCCCCAGCCAATCTTGTGTGCTCTTCGCTCTATGAGCTGGCGCCGAATCTTGTTGGAATACCCAGTGCCTGTTATTGAACACGGTATGAGAAACAGGTTCCACAAGGTTCGTCAGGACTGTATTTTGATACACAACTGCATTCGGTTTTACACCTTTCTCACAAAAATGTACCTCTGTTAAGCCCCAATAAGAAACTCCCAACCATACCATGAGCGAGGATGGAAAATGACCTCGTTGGACACGCGGAATACGGTTGCTCGCTTCTTCACTACTGTGTGCGTACACCTTATCATTTTGTTTGTTGTAGCTCTCTTCTACGGTAAAAATTTTTTCATCCGAAAAAAGAATTTCCCGATATTTTTTTCCCGCGTACCGCTTCAACAAAGCGCGGCATCTCTTCAGTCTCAGGTCCATTAGACGAGCATTCAAACGATGTCCTGTTTTTCTTCGATATGCCCGAAGCCCTAAGTCTTCATTTAACACCCTTTTCACCGTGGTTCTGCTTAACCCCATCTGAAGGGCCAACAGTTTCTGCTTACGTTTGGGATTTCTTTGAATTCGCGCCTTCACAGCTTTTATCACTGCTGGAGTCCTAACAGACCGAGGGCGACCACTTCTTGACCTGTCATCTACACTAGAGTCTTCATTGTATCGTTTGATGGTACGATAAACGAATCTTTTGGTTATATTCAAATTTTTCAGTATGTTAAAAATTTGAATTGGCGCGTAACCGCAACGATGCAACGCAATAACTGCAACACGGTCTTCTTTAAGCGTCCACTCCATATTTAAAAATGAGTAAAATTCTAAAAGTTATACATTTTTATTTTCATGAACAATTCGAAATTCGAATTCAATAAACTTTTTTGTGGCCAGCATTCTAAAAGAAAAGTTTTTACTGTGTGACAATACTTATGACCTGACTAGGTATACTGAGATCTTAGAACTTATATTTCAAGGTGGGTGGCGCATTTACGTCGTAGATGTCTATGGGTTCCAGTAACCACTTAACACCAGGTGGGCTGTGAACTCGTCCACCCATCTAAGCAATTAAAAAAATTTAAGAATTAAAGAGGTGCTCGGACACTTGATCACTCCATCTTTTTTAATTCCGACTTCTGGATCGTCTTCCATCCACTTTACCCGTCACTATGAGTCTCCACAGGTTGTCAGAGTTTTCTTGCTATATAACCTTGTCTCGAGCTAGCTCTCCATAATATTGTGTATGCCTGATAGGCCACACGAAACAAGACAGCGTAGACCCAGATTTCGAATATCTGGTCTTCGTCTGAATCACTAAGTTCAGTAACCAAAAGACACTAAAACTACACCAAACTAACAATACCAGAGACCGTAGCTAGCGATAGCTCTGTCCGTTTCTCTTAAAAGAGCATCAGATTTGACGGATAAAGCAGATGATTAAAGTAACTGCGTCGTAGCCTAATAAAACAACATTGCTCTGATTTTTTTCAGTTGGAAGAAAAGCCCGTAGAGAGCTCTACTATCGCTGGGCCCTCTGTAGCGTCTAGAAGAACTCGATCTACGACTATCGATCCTCTGGAAACTGATATTGTTCAAATTCTAGCTAAAATTAAAGGCAAGGTACGTTTTCCGGTAACATACTCTATTTTTGGGGAATCCGTTTACGGATACCCGGTCGAGGGGGTAACGCACCGGGTTATGTTATTGTTATTATATTTTTATTATGTTATGTTATATTGTCTCTATGGGTTATAACGGTAACACACCCTAAAATGTATTTTATTGTAATTAATACATACTTTTGGTTTTAAATACGGTTTTTTTCTTTCTTTATTAACTGATTGTTCTTGGACTGGGCACGTAAAAACTGTACATTTTAAAGAAATCCTCAGTTTTCTAATGGTATATATAATCAAATCACTTTGACGGCTTAATCTTGCGTCATTAATTAATTATAGCGTTATTTAATACGCAGAGTATTAAATATTCTGTTAAGATTCTACTTCTTTATTAAGATTCTTTGTCTTCACCTTATTCCACTAGATAGGGTTGCCACAGTGATTTTTTCTATTCCATTCTCTTCTAACAACCGTCATCTCGATACTCACCCCTCTCTCTCTTTCATATCGTCATTCACACACTCCATCCATGTCTTCTTCGGTCGACCTCTTCACCCTCTACCTTGTACTACCCTTTCCATACATCCCCTAGTCACATGCATCTTCTCTCTACGCATCACATGTCCATATCACGCTAACCGTTCGCTCTTTTATTTGTCAATCACCGGGGCTACTTTCATACTTCCTATAATATTACCTTAGACATTATTTTAACTATTTTTATGGTGTAAAAACGCAAGATTAAATCATTAATATGTAGTCCTAAATCATGTAAATTTATGTCATTCTGTTTCGTTGTAGAGCGTGCTCCCATATATAGGGATAGGAGTCATGATTATACTCCATATATCTGCCGCGAATTAAACCCGAGCTCCTTCAGTATCGACATATTATATCTGCCGCGAACTAAATATAAATAAATATAATATAAATAAATAAAACAACAGTTTTTTATTGTCCTTCTTCTTCTTCTTCCTAGCGGTTTCCCGGTCAAGTGCCAGGGTCCGCTTTCCTTAAACTCCTTCACTTTGCCTGCTCTTCGGTATCCTTCATATCCGCCTTTACCACATCCAACCAGCGACCAAACCAATAACATCAGTTTTTTATAGGCCAACAACAAAAAAACACAAAGGGTAGACCTACTTCTCGTGGTTTTTATCCTTCTGTTTATTGGTTTATTGTAGGTGCAAATTTTGAAGCCTCAAAAAAGTTTAAGTTTCCGTGAATCATAATACATTTCTGTTTTTGTTTATATATTTATTCTTAAATTTTTCAGATGGTCCGCGATGGGATACGTCCCTTTGACTTCCTTCGTCAGTTCGATCCTCGTAACGAGCTGGTGATTCCTCGGGCCGACTTCTACCGAGGACTGGCTTCTGCTGGACTTTCACTAACGCCGCTCGAAATGGATACGCTAATGGAAGTGTAAGGGTTTCTATGTATCACAGAATGGTATCGAGATTAAAATATCATGTAGATGTTACAATACCTTAATGAGAGACAGTCATCTCGATACCATTTGGCTTATAGATAACGTGACCATTTATACTCAATTATATAATATTTTTACTCAAAACGGGACGTTGGTTTACTTGAGACCATTGACAGGTACATAATGAAAAAAAAAAGTTAAGTTGAAAATTACGAATTAAAAAACATATATCTATACTCAAGATGTTTAGTCATATTTATATGTATTAGAAAAACAAATTTGCTTTAATATAGCTTACACCGCTCACGTTCGGCCGAAAACGGGACAATTTTGCGTTCCAGAGTTCATTTCGGGGACACCGGGACTCGTAATTATAAAAAGGCAGAGTCCCGTTCAGAACGGGACGTCTGGTCACGTTACTTATATAGACCAAATCTTGTTACCTACACGTAAAGCTACCCAGTTTTGGTTGGTACAAACAAAGAAATAGACGAGAGACCCTGCAAGCAATCTCGTACACAGTATGCTTGACGCAAGTTTTTTAAGCTTCCCGATCGCATAAAAGTTAACTCGAATTATTATGGAGTTAGAACAGCGCCCCTAGCGACAAGCTTTTATGCGATCGATAAGTTAAAAGCCTCGCACTAAGCATACAGATCAACAAAGGAATAGGCATATACCTAATAAACATAGTCTGATTCATTAAAAACAGTTTACAAATTTTAAAAATACATTAACAGCGATTTCCAGAGTATCGTTTTTCACCAGTTTCAGCGCCCCGGGTCGACGTAGATACGTGGAGTACGCTAGGTTCTCGTCCACCGTGGGCGAGGCTCTCACACAAGAAGGCCTAGAACGCGCACCGCTGCTGGTGCCAGTACCCCACCTCCCCACAGTAGACACGCCCCTCAACTACCTGAACTTCGAGGAACGGAATATTGTGTCCGGAGCTCTTGCCAAACTTGCAAAATATCCTGATCAGTTGTCTAATATAATCGAGGTGTTCCAGGTAAACCATAATATAATATTTTAATATGTTTAGATTTGATTTGAGGAAGTGTGAAATTAGTCCCGGTAATCAACAAATTAAAGAGCGGCTGGTTAGCGTGGTATGGACATGTGATGCGTAGAGAGAAGATGCATGTGTCTAGGAGATGTATGGAAATGGTAGTGCAATGTAGAGGGGGAAGAGGGCGACCGAAGAAGATATGAGAGAGAGAGAGAGGATTACCTACGTGTTGAGATGACGGCTGATAGAAGAGAATGGAAGAGAAAAATTCGCTGTGCCGACCCCACTTAGTGGGATAAAGTAGAAAAGAAGAAGTTTGGCTTTATGATTTCAAAATCACTGCAAATGCTAATATTCACTTGAAGCCCGCTCTCGAAGTCACAGAATAAATGATTTTATACCCTTAAAATCGAAACACCTTCACATACTTTTTTTTTACATTTAGTGGGCAAATTATGTCACAGAAGTGAAACTTCTTTGACAGCAGCCTGGCAGAAGGCTATTTCCTGTCTTATCAACACTCATTACGCTCAAATTCGTCCGAACGATGAAAATTTTACTGGTGGTAGGACCTCTTGTGATTCCGCGCGGGTAGGTACCACCACCCCTTCTATTTCTGCCGTGAAGCAGTAATGCGTTTCAGTTTGAAGGGCGGGTTAGTCGTTGTAAGTATACCTTAGAACTTATATCTCAAGGTGGGTGGCGGCATTTACGTTGTAGATGTCCATGGGCTCCAGTAACCACTTACACCAGGTGGGTGAGCTGTGAGCTCGTCCACCCATCTAAGCAATAAAAAAAAACTCATCGCACCGACGTTGCTAGTAAGAGAACCGTCAATTCCTGCACGTACCAGCATCCTGTCCATTTATACCGCGAAGCATTTGCACGTTCCTGTTTGGTCGTTACTGTACTGTTTAACATCAAGTGAACCGAGCGCATGTTCATCCATCTAGTGCAATTTAATAAACTCAAAACTTTGCCCTCATAATTGAAATGCACATTTCCCTCACAGGATATAGATAGGGTACGTTGTGGAACCGTGCCGCGGGTATCAGCCGAGCGTGCTCTGTGCCAACGTGGTCTTCTGGCGCTTTTGTCATCGAGAGAAAGAGACACGCTCTACAAATGCTTCGGATACAGGCGAGGATGCGGTGACGAGGTTAGAAATATGTTTAATTCAAATATTTTATTGCTCGGATAAATTGAGTTGCGAGTCGAGATTAGACCATGGCACTATGGCGGCAACAGAAACCCAAACCGTTCTATTTAGAGGAAGTGAATACCGAAGAGACGACAAGCAGAGCACTGAGACATTAAGACGAATATTATTTGAAATGTATCTAAAGTTACATAAAACGACTTTCTTATAATAATAGTAATTACCATAGGGATGTTTATGTAAAGAGACTAAATAAAGAGTCTTTAGTACCGTAGTTATTATGATCTAGCTTTATAATTGAAATATAAATATTTCAGCGATATTTTTTTTACTATTTCATTATAAGCCATCAACGAGTAAAATAAAATAAAAACAATATACAAGGTGTCCCACAATGGGTATATCAAGCCGAAACGTGGCTATATTATAAATAATATAAATTGCGTAACTTCAACCCAGAAAATACAGATTGTTTTTGAAGTTATACTTCTTTTGGCGCGTTATGAAAAATTGATGAGAGTGAAATTTTAAGATGCGCGCGCACCGTGACACAAAATTAACAGAATGAAGTTGTCCACTAAATCGCTCATTACAATACGACCGACGTAACTTGGCGATTCTGAATTTAGTCGCAGGTGAACTTACTTACCGTACCGAGAATTACCGAATTTATACGATGTCAAGAAAAGGGATGTCCAATATGCGTGTTTGAGGATGTTGTTTAATAGTTTTTTTTCAAATTGATTAAAATTTAAATAAAAATAAAGAAATTTAATAAAAATAAAGTACAACTTCTTACGCGCGTACATAAGTACACGCACCCTTTTTTTTGATCGCGTGCCGAAAAGGGCTCAGTGTAAGCGATAACACAGGGACTGCCTGTTTGGCTATGAATCATACTACCGTATCCTACGTAAAACATAATTCAAGGGTTGCCAGAAGAATAGTTTGTTCGTTTTGTTCAAATACTTCCGAACTATTTACTCGTTCTAGCCTAGAAACCGGGAATACCAAATATCGATTATGCATTTGCTACTATAGTTCTACTATTTACTTCAGAGTTGCAATTTTTTTTTTCGTATAATACTAGAGGTTCTTAAAAATTCCGTTAAATTCTACCATTCAAGAGCTGTGTTATAATTTCTTATCAACTAGCGTCTGTTAATTTTATTTATCATAGTCGTGTACTAAGTGTCTAAAATAGAATTTTTACATTGGAGTCTATTGGAGTATTATTGATTAGAAGATACCGGTATTAAAACCTGGCATCCCAACCTATACGAATCGATACTATCCCATTAAGCGTCGTGTTTAATAGTCAGTTCATTAAACGCTTTATTTTATTACAGGTAAATTATCGTGCACTGTGCAACGCTCTGGATGTACTGTACGCCACTACTAATGCTCAAAAATGTTAAGATTCGTATTTCAAATACGCTTTAACGCCGTGTATGCAATAAAATTATCGAGTATGTACTAAGTATCAAATTGTTTTTTTTTTTCGAAGTTCTTGAAAGTTATAACTATAGACAGCTTAGTTGAGATGTCATCTGAGGTAATGAAAAAATGTACTTATACGGCAATAGCTGCGTATTGACTGATCGGTTGCGGCGCGATGCCATTTTGCTCTATAGCTACCTATTGCAGGCTGTGCGCGTAACAACGCGCTAAATATAACTTCACTCGAACTACTAACCCAAGTATTAGACTGATAGCTGATACATCTCTTTTTGAAGCACTCGGACTCGGAAGCAGTCCGTACTCGCCCACCTAGTCCTCTTATGGAACCTTCGGGCCACCAGTAACACCAGTAACAGTTTGAGGGAATTTAAAAAATCGATTTTAAATTCCCTCAAAATCGTAAAGCCGCACTGACGAAAAGATAAAACTGTTCAATATGTACGTATTTTTGGAACGAAGTTCCTTACGGCAGGCTTGGAGGGGATAGGGATTTTGCTGCGCGACCGAACTGAAAAAAATGTGATAGTAAAACCGTAATAAAAAATCCGTGGAAAAAAGTGCGTGGAATAAAACCGTTAAATGAGACGTGCGCAGGCGCGACAGTCGTATACACAAGCGAGTAGTGTATAATACCTTTCTCTTTCTCGCTCTTTCTTTTCGTTCTCTCATCCCTTCTCTGTCTATTTTGTAATTATTTCTATTTCTATGTAATTTTATGTTGTCAAACAAAAATAAAGAGACATATTTTGTTATTTTAATTGATAATTTGAATTACGATTTTATTTTTATGTTACGTAATTTATTATTTCCTAAAATACTGAATTTCCTAAATACTTTCCTGTACTTAAATAAAAACGAATCAGCAAAATTTAAGAGAAAAATCAAGAAAACCAACAAAATTGAGCACGTTTTTTTTTGTAAATTGTGTCGATTCTACATTAGCCGAAGGAACTTCGTTCCTACCTGGTGTCCCACGACACCACATTTGTTTTTTATTACTATTTATATATTTATATTAGCTAGATATGGAGTCAAGTCCACAGAGGTTTTTATACCTACCTACCTATGTACCTATTTTATCTATTTAACTGCGAACATTGATTTAAATATACTAGATGAGTAGTTTCCGCGTCAAAGCGTAACCACTCAATATAAGCCCACAGGCGTATGCCCGGCTTATTTCATTCAGTTAGTTGCGTGCCGTCATCCAAGCAATAAGTTCTGAAAAATCGGTAAATTTGTGGCGAAAGAGTGCCTTTCGAGGTCGGAAATACACAAAAAGGCAATCGGGATTACTTTTCACACATACTTTTATCTAGAGTAAGAGAGATGGATAATGTTTAATTTAAAATCTTTATTAGTTTCAAAGCTACATCGTCGTCGCATAAAGCGGCTACACTTTTGTGTACGCAAGGTAGGTACTGAGGTTTGCTCCTCTAGTTATATTTCAACTCTCTGACTGCGAAGCAATCACGTTTTCTAAGCCAAACGGCTAATTTACCACCCAGTCATAGGTACCAACCAGTGGAAGAGTCGATACTTAAGTCATGTTGAGGCTACTCGTTTCGAATTAGGTAATATAATTTCTTCTTTTTCCTCTTAAGGAACCTTCATCTACGATTCTTGTATCGTATAGTTGACAATTTGTTGTTGCTGGCACTCCGAGGAATGTTGAACTCAACGTACAACAGGCGACGTCACTGGTCTCAACCATGAGGGGCGAGCACTCGACGAATGACTATAGTAGAATTATTTTGTCCGTGCAGTTTGGGTCATAAAACATAGGCCAGCTAGGGCGGTGAGCATTATCGATAAAAACAAATGAGTCATCGAAGGCAGGTACACGGCGGCGGGGCGGTATACGAAGGGTGGTGAGACATTGTTATGTTATGAGTCATTTGTTGAAGTGAAAACTTCTTTAGAATCGTTGTGATTTCAAACCGGATGCAACGGAAAAAACGACAGGTAAGAGACACAAATACAAAAATGTGTAAGATGAAGCCAGCAAAGAATGAGACAGAAATATACATACTATTTAATACAGCGCCATCTGTGAGATTTTTTAATACTAACGTGTATGAAAGCTCTTGTAGTGAATTTTAATTTAGGATTATACGTGAAATTAAAATATCAATTCACAGAGGGCGCTACCTTACAATTATTTACTAATGACAAAATTTTACATAGGTATACTTAAGACGTTTAGGATAATTGTATTTTAATTTTGGAAGGTTTCACTTCTACCACGTGTGAATTGCACACATTTTTGTATTTATATCGGAGAAATGTGATTTTGTGTATTCCCTCTCTGAATTTCTTCAGTGACACAATGGCTACTCCTTTGTTTTGTACCAAAACGCCAGAATTTATTCAAATATTTTTCTTCTTGGCAAAAATATACCAGCACAAGCACGCGTTATTATCAACAATGTCTTAAAATTTTTCACTGACATGAGAATAGATCCCGGAAAGTTACAAAGTGTTAATTTCTGCCGTTCTCGTTAACTTGCTGCGGCGATATGTAGTGTAAGTGTTCTATTAGTGATTTTTTCTTTCATTGTTATCACTAACCCACAAAATGACAAAACTAAATACACTATCGATAACGCTTATCGACAACAATAATGCGCATCACTATGCCCGTCCATAAGGCTCGTGGGTGGAAGAGAGAGCGAAATACTCGCTGCACCGCTCCGATTTTTTATGACCAAAACTGCACGTACAAAATAATTCTACTATAGGTATCAAAATAGTATCGAAAGAGAAAAAATGTAGGTATAGATAGATTTAAACAGCGCCTCTAACGTCCGTGAAAAGAATTTTAGCACAACGAATGAATTTAAACTTATGTACCTACCTAGGTAGGTACTTTAGTTTCGCAATGCAATTGTCAATTCTTGAAACTCGAAACAAACTATCGAGGGCACGAAGATTGTTTTAACAGACGATAATGTACCTAAATCTCGAAGGCAGGCTATAGAGAACATAAGACTATTTAATTTAATATTTGAGATAGAGCCCATCTAATTTTAATGGTCAGTTTTCGTATCGAGGACTCCATCCATACCTACATTTACATTTAAAATTCAAGAGATTTTCATGCTTGACGCGTACAGGCGTTCCATTTTCACGGTATAGTCACAGCGGATCATATCCTTTATCACCAGTGTTGGTTTGTAGAATTATTTTAATTAGGTACCTAGATACAAAGACCCATGTGCAACCATGACCACTGACAAGTGCCAGACTAATAACAATCAGATTACCATGTGGATTGTTCAATAGATGTTAATTACAGCTAATGTACAAAAAACAATTAACGTTAAAGTATATTATTTACAGTGTTCTTTATTAGGTATGCTTCCAATGGGATTCGTATTACAAAAGGGTATGTTGGATACATTAGTGATAACACAGACTAAAAGTCAATTATTTTATTTACAGATTTTTATTACGACATACATCTTGTGTGTATCTCTGGTAGTTTGTTCATGTCAGATAGCTTATTCTAAAAATTTAATTTCATCCCTATTCAATGGAAGAAACAACTACTTTGTAAAAAATACATGATTCTGAAAACTGAGGCGCATCACCCGAATTAATTAAAAATATATACTACAACATTTGTCTGAGATCCAGAGTATCTACTGTCGTAGTTGAGGGCGGCTCGCACACAAGCTCACGCATTCACATTCACATTCACACATCTATTTGTAGATATATTATACCTTTCGGCACTGGTTCCTGCTACCATTAATTTGTTTTATTAAATTAGTAGGTACCAAATTTTCGACAAATAATGTCAGTCTATTCAATCAGCAATAATACTCAGAAACTATAAATCATACTATATTATAATAAATCGAGACGTTAGTCGACGAGCGCGACCACGACACTGTTTTATCCTTAAATTCTTACAACGATTACTCTCTTAAATTACATTAAACGTGGAATGGAATGACGCGCCCTCACGGCGGCAGGACGGCAGCGAGGGCGCTCATCACCGGTCACTTAACCTGTAATTATAATTTGTTATAATTAATTGCCGTTCTTCAATTCAACATTCTAAAGAATTTAATTCAAAAAACTTTATACTAAAGAAATAGAAGGGCACAATAAGGCTCTGCGATTTCTAGCACCAAGATCTTTTAGACAGTTCATAAGTTATATGCTTTTAACGTTGGAGCAGTTGTGCGTTATGCAGCATAATCTAAGTAGAACGAACAGAACTAACCTGAGTGGTAGTGTATCGTGTGTCGCAGTAGCTAGTAGGGTTGGTGTCGCTGTGTGGTCCGCGCTCCGCCGCCTCCCCCGCGCGTCTTGCCCCCCTGGTACCCTGCGGCACAACACAACCTCACCACACCGCACTATCTGAATAATGTGACCCGTCCGACTCCACACAATCAATTGACAAACAACTAGCAGTAGTTTACAAGAAATTATTTAATCCATATCGACATTGACTTCTGAGTGTGAAAAAGATCTCCCGAAAAGATGTAACCACAAAATCACCAAACAAAAAGGAATGTTATTCAAAATTATCAGTTTTTTAACCTAACCTCCATATACAATGGAGAAAATGTGCTTTACAAAGAAAAGTATGTTCTGCTAAACTACACTACTCAATAAAATTATACCTGTTATTTGACTAAGCATATCCAATGTCAACTGATTAGACAAATTCTTTAAAATAAAATGTAATTTTTGAGAATCAGACGAGTCCAAAAAACACCAATGACATTCAAATCTTATCTTTGATGAAACAAAAACACATTCAAGTGTTTTAGTGATCACACTTGATTATGAATGTTAATTGAAACTTATTCTATTGTTCATGCTACACTTAAAACTACAATTTCAGTAGAAGTCCAAAAGTTTAGTGGTGAGATTTTCTAATCTAAAATAGAGTAAGTCTACAGTTAGTAACTTCAAAGAGATGTGCAACAGACTCGCAAAGATTTAGTTGTGTTCCTAAATATACTTTCCAATGTTATTTGAACTATAAATATACAATAAGGCCATGCGTGCCTACGTAATAATGCGTTTGGTATAAATTTTGATAGTGGTCCGAATATGGTGTAGTTTTTAAGCAAAACAAATTAACAATGAATTGAAAATTAATGATCATGAACATTTTAACAAACATTCTTCTTGATCCTGAAAACTCAGAATGATAAGATAGTATTGTAAATTTGAGTTTAGTGTTATTGCAAAACTTCACATGAAACTTTGTCAAGAACAATGTTTGCAGAAGAATTGCATAAACTATCTGTGTGCGAGCAAGTGTGCTTCGAGTACCTTTCCCTCGCGGAGGCTGACGTGCGCCGTACCCGCCCTCGTACCCTCCGTACCCGGCGTAGTCTGCCCACACAACAACACCGTTACACTGCCGCCCCGGCATAACCAGCGCAACCACTAACCATCTTAACAACTTGCATCTCTAATATAAATTCTACTCATACCTAGATGCAAAGGTTGTTTTAGATTAAAAATAGTCTCAAATCTAGAACAGGAGACTTTTTAATCTAACCTTTTCTACTCTCATCAGCATCATTAGTATTTAACTAATTTCTTGAATTTTAAATTGTTTAGGACTTAAATGGACTTGCCACATATACATCGACTGATGACTTAATTTGTGAAACTCATAACATTGATCAAATTGCAAAGCGAGACGCCCCCGGCCTCATGTAAAACAAAACTTATGAGTTCTCATTGTACTTGCTGTTAGTAAGGTGGACAACTCATTACTCCATTAGTCCAACAGTTAGGTGTCAATTAAATGTGAGGGCATGCGCTGTTAGTGGGGCATTCGGCCGGCGTGCGGCAAGGCAGGGAGGAATGGACCAGGGTTTTATATGGAAACACATTGAGAATTTTATTAACAGTGCTTTATTCAAAAGCTTTCATCATATCTTTATCACTTTCACAATGTCTCTCCATATTTACCCCATTTCCCAAATGTAGCATGTAGCGTGAGTGTCAAATAGGTAAAATAAATGATACCAAAAAAATTAAACTCTAGCGACATGGCTACATAAGTCAAAGGTGGTATTACAAATAAACACTTATAAACATAAGGCAGGTAACATAATATTATATACAAGTATACTATGTAGTACCCGTTGAGACAATGACAAAGAGCGATAGGCTGAGTGGGCAACTGCTCTACAAGTAGCGGCCCGGGCGGGCGCGCCCGGTGAATCGATATAAACCAAATAGCAAAATAAATGATAATAATTTGAAAAAGATATACCAAACGATTAATTAATCCTACTTTACTCGAAACTAGAAGGCCGACCCGACGTTACTTTTTTTTGATCACACACTGTCGCCTCGACAACATACACTATGCATCATCTCGATACAATATAAATTATATACATTTATATAATATCGATATAAAAATAAATACTCTCTACACACTAAGTTAATACCTATGCTTCGCGTGATGTCGATCTAACTAGATACAGTCGGCGCGAGGGGGACGCTCGCAGCTAGCCTAGCCTTACTCTACGCGGAACTCCTACACTAGGGATCAGGTAACATCAGTCGAGGTAACGTGTCGGCCGCGAGCCGCGTTAGTACTGCTTGCCGCGTTTACCGTAATTAGGGTATCCAGAGTAATCGTAACCGCCGTAGCCCCCGTAGCCATCGTAACCGTAGCCCCCGTAGCCGTAGCTGTCGTATCCGCCGCCATAGCCACCCTGACCGTAGCCGTAGCCGCCGTAACCCTGGTTACCCCAAGGTTGGCCGCCGTATCCACCACGGCCGCCGCGGCCTCCTCTGGCACCGCGTCCGCCGCGGCCACCTCGCGTGCCTATGCCTCCGGGGCCATCTGGTTTTGGTGTTGCACGCTTCACATCGACCTTAAGAAAAAATTATAATATTACAACACTGGTATAATATTTAATATAAGCCATTACTTAAGACTCATTATTGATTTTACTCACCTCCTTTCCACCAATTGTTCTTTTGGGAGTCTTAAGCAAATCATTTACAACTTGCTCAGATTCAAATGTGATGAAACAGAAGCCCTTTCTTTGGTTCTTTGTTTTGTCAAAGGGCATCTCCACTTCTAAGATCTGTAAAAAAAGTATTATTAAGTGACAGAAAGCAAAAGTCTATTTATTTATTTTTTAAATTCGATAGTCAGTGGCCCGGATGTCTCTTCACAATCAGTCAAGAAATCGAAATCTCACCAATGCCGGATTTTTCATCATTAAAAAGGCAAATTTGATGCAAAGTTAAAGGTTGAACTTATCAATCTAATTGCCTGAATTGATTTGAATTGCATCAACAATGTTTCAAGAAAATTTTCCTGTTTATTCTTCAGTCATCCTGTTTAAATAAATTAATAATGAACTCACAGTTCCAAATTCACTGAAGAAGTTTCTGATTTCATCATCTGAGATTTCACTGCTGAGTCCTCCGACAAAAATCTTCCCATGTCGTGCTTTAGCCTTCTTTGGGTCTACTTTCTTGTTGTTGATGGTGTGTTCACCAGCAGCCATGACCTTGTCTATTGACTCTGGGGCCTTAAACACAATGAAGGCAAACCCTCGTGATCTGCCTGTGTTTGGATCTGTCTTTACATTAATACTCTCTATTTCACCGTATGCTCCAAAATGATCACGGAGCTCCTCTGAAAAAAAAAGAAAAACTTTAAAGCTTCTTAAGACATGGATATTGTTTTTTTTTTTAGTTTTGAATATATAATCAGAAATGTGGGTAAAGTTATCTTCAATTTTACTCAGAAGCAGAACTGAATTAAGTCATCATAGAAGATTTAATATAGTTTCATTTACTAATCAAGTGATTATTGGTAACAAAATACTCACTATCTGTGGTCTCCCAGCTCAGCCCACCAACAAAAAGTTTTCTGTGAAATCAAGTTATATTATTTAGAATGCGAATTAAGAAAAAAGTACGTCTCGATACAGAAACTGACTTATCAATTACAATAAAATTTATCATTAAAACTATTTGCAGTACTTGTTTACAGTACTTTACAGCTACATTATTATTCAAAACAAACTCCAAGCACTGCAGCAAAACAAATTGTCAACCTGTAAGTTACAAAAAGTAAAACTGGAAATTTACATTATGAAACAGGACAAACCAAATGATACAAGAACGTTAAACTGTCAAAACGCAAGATTTGAAATTGGCAAAAGTGAACGAGGCCCAAAAGTAAGTGGCCGAAACAATCTAGTCAGTTTGGTCGTAGATTACTTTAGTGTGAGCCCAGCGGATGGATATATACCATGGCGTCCTCCGGCGGCTGCGGCGGCGGCGGCGCAGGCTCACACCTGCAGAGAGACACAGCGTTAGTGCGCCAAACTGACCGCCCTCCGACTACCGATTTAAAATCTTGCTACCTATATCACCGGTGAGTAAAGGCACCGGCGCAGAGCCCCGCGTGCTCACCCCGATAGCGGCACGCCATTTTGTGCGACACCCAAATTAATCAATACATTAGCGAAATTCTCAACACAAACTGCAAAATCACAACTATGCCATCTACGAAACCGTTTAAACCGCGAACAACACACTGTAAAAGCGAAAAAGTATAATTTTGAAAAGATCCGTGTGATTACAACAGATTTTTGTAAGCCGATAATGGAAAAGCCGGATCGCCGCCATTATGGCGGTCGACGATACATAACTGAAATGAACTTTACAAAGAGAAATTACTATTTAATATGTAAAAGTGTAACATTTAAGTAAGCAGAATAAGGTTTATTATCTCTGAAATATGTATAAAACTCAAAACAAAGGGAAAATTAAGTACCTGTCGTCATCGCGTCCTGGGGCCTCGGCACTGTTATGATCTTGCGAATCACCGCCACCGTTCTCTGCATTTCCATTAAGCTGGTTGTCGGTGGTAATATCTTGTGCAAAATTATCGTTATTAGCCATGACTAAAATTACGCCTAATAATTACAATTAAACTAAAACTATGGTCTACACGCGACCTTCAACAACGAATGCCAAATGCAGAAGAAAGGAACTACGCGATGACGCGATGAGTCGGAGTCGGCGCCAAATGGTTCGTTATGTTGGCTACAGCAGAGAGACGCTTTTTTTGCATTGAAATTTGCTCCCCTCCCAAAAATCAACCAATCAGGTAACGGCAGAACAAAGGGTCAATGGCATTTATTCATCGTTAAAAAGAGAGAACAAAATTTGTCGCCTTAACCAAAACGAGATAGAATTTTACATTCAATCAATACCAACTACCAACATTACCAAATAACAGCTTGTTTTTTGAGCAAACAAAGGAAAAATACCATGCCTTGCCTTGCCAGGATGACTATTTACTTTTAATAAAAATCTACAAAAATGTTTTTTTTAATAGTTAATTAGAAATAGATTAGAGATATAAATAGTTAATTATTGGAACACAACCATAAATCGATTGGTTTGAATACATAAATCGAGGATATACAAAATATTTAATAAAAAAATTAAAGCATAAAATTTACTTAATGCTGAGCATAATAATATGCTGCATGCTGCCGGTTAATGGAGGTTAACTAAATTCCATAGGTTCTGACGACTGAAATATTTAAGTTAGTTACTTTCATTGCGGCGTGACGTCTTTCTTGAGAAGACTACTACTAGATTTTAAGGAATGACATGTCCTTCTTCAACGGTATTGCAAATTTCTCCTATCGACAGTTCAGTCGAATGGATTCCCATTTTTTAATTCGATTTTTGGATATTATTCAAATATTAAGACTTTTGATAAATTTTAGGCATTTTCAGGTTACCTAGATTAACTTTAAAAAACCTTGAACTTCAGTAGCGAGCGTTCGCTATTTCGTAAAATTTGCTTCTTTCGATTTCCTTGTTTGATTGTTTTATAATTGAAATAAGCAGAACATGGGTAGGTATCAACCAGGAGAACTATCGGATATCTAGTTATCTAGATAATTCATTAATTTTGGATATCCAAAATCAAGTTGATATCAACCTAAACGATAAACAATTTGAGATTATCATTACAACGCAATACTTATTTACTAAATACAAGACGGGGCGAAAAATTAAAAAACAGAGAGCTCCTTAAAATTGCAATGTTACAAATTTATTGAAGTGAAACTTCTAATGCGACTTCTAACTAATGCGTTCGCTACCATACTAGAATGAAAGAGACAGAGCGAGAATGAATGCGTGGCACTCGAACGCATGGGCGTAGTATACCTGCAGTGGTCTCAAACCTACCGATTTTTCGGTATTTCTACCGATATGGGCTCTGTTCTACCGAAATCCCGAAATATAACAATTTTTCTACGATTTCAGAGTATACATGGAAATTCTCCCGAATTTTGTACCGATTTGACACTTTTAGACATTATTGATCCAAAAAATGTTAAATTTGGCAAAACTACTACAATACTTCTATAAGAGTAGGCTCTTTCCCAATATTGTTCAGAGCAATGATTTCCAGGAAAATTATATAGAGTGGCGCATTTTAAGAAATTGTGAACAGATCAAAACATTTCCTAATGATGTAGAACTATTTTGGGATTTTATCACTTCCCTATTCATCCGCTAACGTTGAACGCATATTTTCACATATTAACCTTTTGAAAACAAAACAGCGAAATAGACTGTCTACTGAATAAATCACTGGTTTATTACATGCAAAAAGACTCTTTAACAGCTAATTGTTATGATTTTCAAATTAATTTGACGATGACTGCAGCTATGGTCAAACAATATTGATATAAAAAATAATTATTCTTAAATATGATGGTTATAAATTAGTCTGTAAGTTTTTTTTTTTCAATAAATAAGCGAATTCGATTGAATATTGTATATTTTTTGACAAATACCGATTTCGGGTACAAAATAGTACAAAATATAATAATTTACCGATTTTAGCTGGCAAGTCTACCGATTTCGCCCTATGACGTTCGAGAACACTGTTTTTTTTTTTT